ACCAATCATTTTATTTTTCATTTAGTGGTATAAAATTAATACTTTCTTAAGCAGTAAATGTAAAATATTATAAATGGGAACAAAAATGTTATCAGCTAGGAGACCACAAACAACAGATTATCAAGGCAGATATATATATATTGGTTTTGGGATGTTACAATATGTACGTTACAACATACAATGTGTTAGGAAAATACAAAGAATACGGCCAAGACTTACAGAATGAAGCCACAGAACAAACTAGTTTATGGGGAATGACCAATTCTGTTGATGCGTTGTCTTAATTTAATGTGGATATAGTTGTAAATTCACAAAGAAACATTTATATATACTTGATGATTTTTCTTTTCTGAAATTACTATCAGCATTAAGAATATAGCCTATCTTTCTTTATATCTATACATTTTTTCAGCTGTAATCAGTCACTTATGCTTATCAGTGACCATGGTTACTTGCACATCATTTTCTGATTAAGAACCATATTCTGGATTTATCTTTTTTTAATGAAATATTATTGTACATATTGCTTTTTGAAACCCAGTCAAAACTTTTACTATAGGAATTTACAGATATAGGAATCGATCTCAACAAGTATACACCAGCAAAAAAAAAAAAAAAAAGGTTTGTTACTGTTAAGTCTCTTTTTGACTTTTCCTTTCAGAGTAAACATGTCTTCAGTGAAGATTATGCTTGTAGTTTCTCTCTTCATCCCTGCTGTGAGGTCCAGTTCAGGTACATGCTTTAATACACAGATTAATTGCATTTGCCGTTTTTCAGTGTTAAAATGAACTTTAGGGTTTAAGGAATGTACCCACGTTACTAGAGATTATCACTGTTTGTTGTGCTTAAAGCAGTTTATGTTCCAGGGTCAATACAAGTTAAGTGCAATATACTGTAAATTATTTTCTGTGGTTAATCAACAGCATGCCACAGATTCTGTCAACAGAACTTTACTTGTATAAAACCATGACCATGAAATGTGTTCTGCTTCTTCTGAAGTACCACAATCCAAATGTTATGTTTGTAATTCTGTGTTCATCAGATTTGTGGAAATTGGAATGCCCGCCTACATATGGAATTCTTGCTCAGTCCACAGTTATCAGATGCTATTTCAAAGACATAAAAGATATTCACATAGTTGCAGTTTCTTTAAGAAAAGTTGGACAGGACAAGCCATTATTTGCTCAAGAAGAATCAAAAAGATCAGGAGATCAACGCTTTAGTCTTGAAAACTCAGCGATGAGTCCATCTCTGCAAATCTCTGACACAATGTTTTCTGATGAGGGTGAATATCTGTACCATGTTGTAACGGACAGGGGTTATGAAGACATACAACTTAGCATCAGTGTCACGGGTGAGTTTCAATTTCTTTAGTCTTATGACTAAAAATGCATACAAGCACACTGCCTTGCTTACAAGAGTCTTGGTGCTTATCATTGTTTTGTTCTTTCTCAATAAAGCGAAGTACAAGGATCCTGTCACAAGCACATGGCCTGAAAATGTAAAGGATGGAGGACCTGTCAGCCTTTACTGCAATGCTACTGACGGCTACCCAGCAGGCTCCATCCATTGGTTTGACCATTCTGGAACCAACTGGACCATAAATTCAGAACTGACAAAAACCCCCAAGGATATCAACGGTGTAAAATCTGTGGCTTTGTCTAGCAAACTGACTTTCAAGTCTATCGTCTTGGGTCTGGAACCATTTAGATGCATCGTCTTTAATAGTAAATATGTACAAGATGGAGAAAACACAATGGAGATCACATCTGCTATACGTAATTAAGCTTAATTTTCTTATCTCTATGAGTGCTTCTTTTACATAGCAAGCAGGTTGTGCAACAGAGATGATCTGCTGAAAAAAATGTGCTACTGTGTCTAGACACATGCCAACTTAAGAGTTGACAGTAGCACCATTTAAGGAGTGTTTACATAATCATATTTCATTGTGTGAAAATATGCATTCTCAAAATGAAAGTTTTGAGACAAAGCACATTTAGATTTAAATTGTATTATATTGTTTTACTGGTGTCATTAGAGTCTATATTTTTTTTAGCAATACAATTGTGTGCAATAATGGACTGCCACTGCCACACAATAGTCTACTAGAGATATTTAAGGTTACTGTGAGTCAACAGATTTCTAAAACTGCCCATTGTATTGAAGATAATCTTTTAGTTCATAATATATTTTTACAACACTGTCATGGAGAATCTGTGCTCTGTGTGAATTGTATGCATTTTGTTTCTCCAGATGATGATAACAAGGATTCTTCTGGATCTAATACAACAAACATTGTTGCTGGTGTGATGGTCATTGGATCGCTTACTGTTGGCCTGCTGTTTGCTCTGTTGTGTTTCAGAAAAAAAAATGCTCAGCGTGAGTATGCCTTTAATATTCATTCTAAGGGTAACAAAATCTAAGGGTACATTTGAGTGATTATGTCTGCAGGTTGGATTTCTGTTAAACACAGGTTTTTCACTTATTTGGCATTCAAAGGGGAAATGTGGCAATGCTTAAAGTTAGAAAGAACGTGCCTCAGCAGATCTTGTATCAGGGAATTCTTGTGTTACTGAAAAACTAGACTTACTTCCTTATCATGATTTTCTAAATGTATTTAGACATAACATGACTGCCCTGAGTGAAACTGCAGTGAGCTAGGTTTTGTGAAGTGGTGTTTTGACTTCTCTATAGTTCTTAAAGTCTATTTAACAGTATAGGTTTGACAGTCAGTAGTGATATCATGTAATTTTGCACTAAATTTATTTACAGCTAGACGACCTTCTGCCCTTCCTATTCTAAGTAGGTTAAATTTGTGTAATTCTTTCTTAACAACTGGGTTTGGTTAAACATCTTCTCTATAAGACTTTTATTGTTTCTGTTTCAACTAGGCCTATTTAGTTGCACATTGTAATAGTTTCTGCATGGGGATCAGTTGTTTCACTTTCCCACTTTTCTTTTTTTTTATCTGAGTTAAAATATGTGTAGATATATCTGAAAGAATATTTGGTGTGAAAGTACAGAAACTCTGGCTCATTCTGATACACAGCTCTCTCTCTCTCACTCTCTCTCTCTCGGCTGCTCCCATGAGGGAATGTCACAGTGTATCATCTGCATAGTTTATTTGGCACAGGTTTTATTTGTTCTTTCTGGCTCATCCCTCTCATTTTTTGGGGTTAGGGATTGGCACCTAAATTGCTGTAAACTTGTGCAATCCCAGTGACTGCAAACGGATACAGCAGTATAGACTGCACTAATACATTTATAAGTTCCTATCAATGAGTAATGCATGAAATGTTGTTTTTAAATAGATTATGAACCAGGAAATGCTGTTGAAGATGATCTGGAAAATGGTAACATCAGGTAGGCCCAGAGATCATATTTGCATTTAGGCAAAGATCAAAACAATACTACACATGGTTTAATACTTAATAGTTAACAGTTAACAGTTTGTTTATTTGTTATAGCCTGTAAGGGTAGTTATATAACTTTTTATATGAATTTTCACTTTCTATTTATATATTTTTTTGTATTTTTTTTAGTCCTGAGCATTGAAGCTTGTAATATCAGGAGATGAAATTGAAACTATAAACCCTGATTTTCATACTGAGATCAGCGCAGCCGCCATTTGACCGAAACAAAAGTGAAAGCATAAGGAAAATGGCTGCTGTTTCAGGGATTTGTAATATGTGGGCAAGTAATAACGGTAAGACTTAACACTTAGTTAACTTCTCTTTACATTTACAATTAAATGTGGCTTTAGAGATCATATACACTAATACTTGTCAAATTAATTGCTACATCAATATAAACATGAGTTTTAAAGAGGTTTTTGGATGTTTTCAGAAAATTTGAGAAATGATTTTGCAAATGCTTTCATAAGTCTGGTCAGAAATCTTAAATCATTATTCATGATTATTTTACAAAACAGTTGTAGTTTTCAGAAATAGTTAATAATATTCAAATCTAAATATAGTTCTGTAAAAAGTGTTTTATATCTTTCTAGTGAGTTTTTCCATCACTACTGTCACCTTTGGCTTAACTCACTGAGGGTTTTATGGTAATATTGTTCTGTAAAGCATCTTAGTAACAATATTCAAGCTTATTAGGTAAGCGTTATACAAATGAACTTGAATTCAATTGAAAACATTTATTCTCAGCTTTATGCATCAAACATTAATAGCATTAATGCAAAAATGATTTGTTTTGTAATTGTGTTTATACTGCTGCCATTGTATCACTGGTCACTTACGCTTCACATCAATGATAGTAACTGTCAAATAAGTCTCACATTCAGCTTTCATTTTCAGATTCTGAACATTTAAAAGTGAAGTGAATGATGCATGAATTGTAATGTGGTGATTTTTCAGTGAATACAGCAACTGTAAATACAACTGTGAATACAATAAGTGGACCAGTTTCTGTTAATACAAGGAATGCCGTGGTTTTAAAGTAGGAGGGGACAGGATTAAGGTGTGTGTGTGTGTATGTGTTTTCTCCCTTGATTTTAATTTGAAATAAAATCATATTCATTGTTTGTAAAATGTAGCATGTAGAGAGACCTTGAATCTTTAAACACTTGTATATTTGTATTTTGTTTTTAACCATACTGCAATAAAATAATAAATACATTTTGTCTTCTTGCTGCCTTTTAATCATCACTTCACAGCCCATGGGTATCTGACATATTTTTCAGTAACCTCTATAAATAATAATAATAATAATAATAATAACAAAAAGAGTGAGTCAGTGGGGTATCTTCCATGAGACAATTTTTAACATTTTAGTCTTACCGTTACTAACTGATCTAGTTTCTTTTTAGACCTAGCGCTTTTGTAATGGTTATTTGGTAACACTTTACAATAAAGTCTCATTTGTTAACCTTAATGAATGCATTATCTAACATGAACTAACAATGAGCAATGCACATTTTTTAATTTTTACATATATTTACTTTTATTTTAACATTTATTGTGCATTTACTTATGTAAATATATATATATATAAAGAGCTGGGTAGATTACTTGAAAATTGTAATCCGTTACTGATTCCAGATTACATGACAAATTGTAGTCAGTAACGTAATCCGTTATATAATCAGATTACATTTTGATTAATTTTAGATTACTATTGACCTACACTCTTAAAAATAAAGGTGCTTCAAAAGGTTCTTCAAGCGATAAGAGCTGGGTAGATTACTTGAAAATTGTAATCAGTTACTGATTCCAGATTACATGACAAATTGTAGTCAGTAACGTAATCCGTTATATAATCAGATTACATTTTGATTAATTTTAGATTACTATTGACCTACACTCTTAAAAATAAAGGTGCTTCAAAAGGTTCTTCAAGCGATGCCATAGAAAAACCATTTTGGGTTCCACAAAGAACCATTCAGTCAAAGGTTCTTTAAAGAACCATTTCTTTCTTACCTTTTTATAATCTGAAGAACCTTCTTTCACCACAAAGAACCTTTTGTTCTTCAGATGTTAAAGGTTCTTTATGGAACCAGTTAGACAAAAAGGTTCTTCTATGGCACCGTGAAGAACCTTTATTTTTAAGAGTGTAACTAGTTTATCATATTGATTTAAATAGGATAATCTCGTACCATATTGATAGAAAAATGCAAAGAAAAAGAAAATATATAACATTTCTTGTTATTAATATATTGAAGTGCACTAAACATTACATTACGGCAAGGTTTCCTAAACTGGGGCTCCTGAAGGAACTGCAGGGGGTTCAGGAGTTTAATGAAAAGCGAATAATTAAAATCATAAAACTGTAAAATTAAAATAAATAATTTTAAAATAACAACAATCAAAATAAATAAACAATATGTTTACCTGCATATCATGTGACTATTAACCAACATCAGAGGTGCGTGAACATGCAAATGTAATTTAATTATTAACCTATTACCTTAAAATCTCAGGGGGGAATTCAAATAAATAAATTAGATGAAACTTGATTTGGCTGACAAAAAAAAAAAAGTTTGGGAATCACTGCATTACTGTACATGTAAATAAGAAATAACGTGAATTTGTGCATTTTAATGTGTTTGAAAGAAAAAAGCCTTCCAAAGACACAGTAATACATGGTTAAATGCTGAGTGATAGCCTAATTCAAATACAAATTAATGTGTTCATCAGTTGATGCCATGTTGAAATGTTGAGAAAACACTTTTGTAAATCATTGTAAATCATTGGTCAAATGCTGTGTGGGCTCTCAATTGTCTGTGCAATTACAACCACCAGACCAGTGACTGGTCTTTGTGTGAATGTCCACAAAACTGGAAGACTTTCTGAATATATATATATATATATATAGGCTATTTGTGCTATTAGTGATAGGCTATTTTAGAAAGGAACAAACTATGAAAAAGAGGAATAAGGGAGTATAAACAATAGTTGTTTATTTGTTATAGCCTGTAAGTTTAGTTATATAACTTTTTATATGAATTTTCACTTTCTATTTATATATTTTTTTGTATTTTTTTTAGTCCTGAGCATTGAAGCTTCTAATATCAGCAGATGAAATTGAAACTATAAGCCCTGATTTTCATACTGAGATCAGCGCAGCCGCCATTTGACCGAAACAAAAGTGAAAGCATAAGGTATATAGTACTATTGTGTAAATATGTAATTAATAAAAACGTAACTGTAATCTGATTACGAGTATTTTAAAATGTAATTTACTCTAATTACAAGTACTTAATTTTTGGAATCCAGATTACATGTAATCAGTTACTACCCATCTCTCTCTCTAATATATATATATATATATATATTAGTAAATGTTGAGATTACAGAACAGCATAAATTAGTACACCCCCTCTGAACATAAAGATATATTTCTATTTCTTAATTATCACTCTTACAATTTGTGGGAAGATGGCAAGATTTAAATATATTAAAATACTTAGTTAAAAGAAAAAAATATATAATTTTCAAAATAAGTAAATTAGGCAATTTTGCTTAAAGGGGTCATATGATGTTTCTAAAAAGAACATTATTTTATGTATTTGGTGTAATGAAATGTGTTTATGCGGTTTAAGGTTCAAAAAACACATTATTTTCCACATACTGTACATTATTGTTTCTCCTCTATGCCCTGCCTTTCTGAAACGCATCGATTTTTACAAAGCTCGTCGGTCTGAAAAGCAAGGTGTGCTCTGATTGGTCAGCTATCCAGTGCGTTGTGATTGGCCGAATACCTCAAGTGTGTGACGGAAATGTTACGCCCCTTACCATACTGTGATGCCGTGTCCCGGCCGGAGCAACGAGACAAAAACATTAAAACCCATTATAAATGAGGCATTTGTTGCATCCAGTGGGGACATAATTACGGATTATATTGATTTATACTGTCTTTTTACGCGTTGCGTTGCATCGCGCCGTGTAAACATAAAACCATGTCTGCATTTGTGATCGGAGAACTGACAAACAGCAAGCGCTACTCTACACTGCTCAAAACTCTGGCAAAATCCTTTAAATATGAAAAACGTACTTACAGACTGTGAGTCAGAACAGCCGACATTGTAGTCTACTCTCCCAGGAAACAGTCCTCTATAAAATGCGCTGCACACATCTGAATTTTTGGGTTGAACTGTTCTGTAACAGTGTTTTAAATACAACTTAACCACTAATTTCTAGTTGTGTCCTCTTTTGAAAGGCCAAACAAAGTAGTTTCGCTTTCACAACGAAACACACAGCGTCACACACGGTGGGCTAGAGTGAGCGGAGGCCGGCGGTGGCCAGCGGGCTTGAGTGCGCGGTGGCGGGCGGGCTTGTGGCAACCACATGTGACAACCCGGGGCTGGACTCCGCTTCGTCCACGGTGAAAGCCGATCCGGCGATCCACAGCGCGAAGTTGATGTATTTCCTCAGCTACCAGCACGGATCAGCTCTAGGCGTGACGAAGCATTACAAAGTTACGCCTTCTTTCTTTGCGTGAACATTTGGGCGGCTTTATGCAAATCTTCCCACATCGTTATGTAGACATGTGGGGGCGTGTTAGAATGAGCTGTTTTAGGTAGTCATGGTTGACTCTTAACTTTTATAAAGAATACCTCTTTGGATTTGAGACTTTAGTCTTTGCAACTTTACAGATCTTCTTTATGCACCAAGAGCTTGTAACACTCCAAAGAGAAAGGAAAAATTGAAATCGCATCATATGACCCCCCTTTAAACGAAGGGTTGCAAAGAGGAGTACACCCTTGATTAAATTTCACCTGCATTTATTCCAGTATGTAGTATGTCCTCCATCATGCCTATTGTCACATCTAGAGGCGTCATGCCCATTCAAAGTGACAATGAAAAATGGGGCACATGCCCCCTCAGATTTTTGAGCCAATTGGATTTTGAATATTCAGCTTCCAAAAGACAAAAAATAGCAGATTAATATTTTCTATATTTAATACAATCACACCAGCGTGATTAGAACACTCAGTGCACCATATCATCAGCTGCTAAATTCATATCTGCTTTCGCTTGCTGGCGCTGAGCCACGGATGCGTTTTTACAGTACTGTGCATTAACCAATCACACATGATGCTGTTGAGCTGATGAATGCAATGACCAATCAGAGGTGTTCAGATGAGTCATGGGTAAAATGCCGGTGTTTTCTTCACTCGCTCGCTGACTGAATACCTCTTTCTGGCGAATTCTCTCGTCAGAAACTACAAAGCGCAAATGTGTGTACGAATCTATAAGCAATTAATTTCATAATGTAAACAGCTTCAATGATTTTAATGCGAGTTTTTGAGAGTGCTTGAACTAGACTATCAAAGAACATTTTCACTGACAATGTAAATGTTCTTTGCTCTCTTTCTGTAGGCTACAATGAAAGTGTTATGATTAGTAGCCTAACTTGCAATGTTTTTATTCACGTTAACTTTCAATGTTAAATTCACATTAAATATAAACTCAGTCGTATTAAAAATATTTTATGGCATGACACCCATATCTGTTAATTAAGTAAACAGACAGGTTATTATGCATAGTTAATAGATTACATTATTAGGTTAGTGTGACCATCGCCCACTATCAGGGACGTGCACAGACATTTTAAAGGGCAGGGGCTTAAGTGGAAAAAAGGGCATGGCTCATATTTATTTCAAAAAGTTAAATATATTAGGGGTGTGTGATATTGACAAAAATATATCTCAATGTTTTCTGGGATTCTATCGATAACGATAATAAGATTATATTTTGCTGAGTGTGTTATTGTGCTGATATCTTAAGGACAACCGTGGACAGCTGACTCTTAAAGTTTTTGATATTCTGCATATTCTGTGGTGATCAGTTCACAGCAGTCATAGAAATTAATCTTTTCCAATAAGATTAAATAGATTTTTACCTTTATAAAGCCATTTCTAAAGTGTGCATCATCTTTTCAGTCAAATTCTTAAATTGAAAAAGTCAATTAGAATAACAAGTCATATGGGCTGTTACCAAGCAAATTAAATCAGTATTGACAAAATAAATCTTTGCAATGCAGAGAAAACACAAAAGCTGCATTACACTGTTTAATGCAGGACATTAATGTTTTAACCTACAGTTACAAATGCATTAATACTGTTTTGATATTTTAAACATAAAACTGTCACG